TTTCTCATTATCACAGGCAATGGTTGCATGTTCACAAAAGTTGAAGAGAATAGCTCAAGAGGATATCAGCTTATCTGTAGATCTCAGTCAACTGTCATAAAATACAGGCTAATATTATCGACATAGTGATCACAAGCATCAGCTTACCTGCATGTACTGAAACTGCAAGGATGACAAAGTTCCTATCAAAGACTCAAATAGAGCTGGTAAATTTCTCTCCTGATGCATAGCTATCATTCTTGCAGAAAGATCCGTATAGTTTCCGTGTTGTTCCGTACTTCAATACAGATCCGCGAGCGTTCCGCGTTGATCCGCATTTCAGCCTGATCCGCATTTGATCCGCGTGGATCCGTATTTCAGGCAGGCCCACCTGACTATAATCTAAAGAACCTAGACAACGCATTTTCGGTTTCTACGTGATTTAGATTACCTTGGAAACATTAATTAACCTCGGGCTACGCCCTCGGTTAATTAAATTTGTTTCCTCGGTAATCTAAATCACGTAGAAACCTCAAATGCGTTGTCTAACCTATATTTAGATTATAGTCAGGTAAAATGAGGCAATTTGATTGGTCAGATGAGGTAATCTAAGTAGCTTAGTTACCTCTTAATAACTTCTTAGATTACTTGTTAATAACCATTATTTATAATAATAAAATATCGAATATTTACAGTCAAATTTGTGCAGTTACTGAAAGCAATTTGTGGTTTATCGTCCATCGACATTAAAAATTTTGTTTGTTGAGTATTTTGAATGTTTGCTAAACTATCTGATATCTCAATCATTTGTTCAGCTGTGATATCCTCTTGTAGCTTCTCACTCCATCGATGCTATGGTGACCAGTGCGTTGCAGTTGCTTGTAAAGAATGATTAGTTATTAGAAACATTAATTAACCTCGGGCTACGCCCTCGGTTAATTAAATTTGTTTCCTCGGTAATCTAAATCACGTAGAAACCTCAAATGCGTTGTCTAACCTATATATAAAGAGCTTGGAATCTACTGATCCCAAAAACATACATGAACAATAATAATTAATCTACAGTTGTGTCTATAAGCAGGAAAATTTTAGCAAAAAGTCAAATTAATGTAAAATTATTAATTGTTAAGCATAAATGTGAATTAAATGTATTTAAGTCTGCCAACTATTATTTACTATCCCAGTGTCAAAAATTTTACAGTACGCATGCACATACATGTACATGTAATCATAGTATAATATGCTAGACTTGCTATTATAGAGTGTATGATATACTTTCATTTGGTGTCCTGTTGCTGTTATGATAGCACTCAGTCCATAAGATTTAGTTTTCTGTTGTCTTAGTTTAACTAACTGCTTAGAGAGAAAGGGATGTGTTACTTGTGGTTTTCTATGGTTATGTATGGTTACTATACAATGTAGTTTTACAGAAAATGGCTCCAAAATTACCCCAAATTTTTATTACATTTTCTGATATATATACTTGTGCTGTTTAGGAAGTTTTAGCTGTTTCCAACAAATAACTTTTGAGTTATGATCATTTCTAAAAATTAGCCAATTTTTGAAAAATGCTGTTTTTTTTTTGAAAAATGGCTCCAAAATCACCCCAAATTTTTATTACATTTATTGATACAAATTAATATCCTTTGGCTGTGTAGAAAGTTTGAGCTAGTTCCTACTAATAACTTTCGAGTTATGACCATTTCTAAAAATTAACTAATTGCTCTCTCCTAATTTTTATTACATTTTCTGTTGATCTACTTTTGCTATGTAAAAAGTTTGAGCTGTATGCCCACCTCCATAATCTATAATTATGCCTATTAAACAATTATAGTCTATACAATATCAATGATATACTAACCTTGTACTGGGAACAGCCTGAACTAGATAATAAGGGAGGGTACTAAAGCTTAAGATAAACAATTGTTACAGCTAGCTACACCCTTCTTTCAGTTGCAAGCAATTGTACTGCTTTATTGCATCAGCTAAAATCAACTGAATGAACATGATGACTGAATATGCACATTTTCTCGTCATAACGAATTCTGTGGACTATCTGTTCTCCACAAATGTATCCATAGTAGTTGATAGTGATCAAAGTTGATGACGGTACAATAATGCTCAGTGCACATGCATGGAATGGCTATCTCCTCACATGCAGTTTCTCTCAAACCTTACAGAAAATTAAATTGTAGCAAAATAATCACTAAACTAAAGAAAGCTAACAATGTAATTGAGTACATTCTCATTTAGTTCAATAATAACTAATAAGTTCCAGTTATAATCCCATTATCCATTAGAGCACTTGTATTCCCAGCAGTGAAAGTTTGCAGGAGTAATTGGATGCTGATAAAGTACCAGAATATTACATTAATAATAATAAATACAATAATTATACTTACATATTCATAACCTGGAGACTGAATATAAGCTATGCGAAGACATGTCCCCCAGTTCTTCATACATGTCACATCCAATTCTTGACCATCACACTTTGTACATGAATCTCCTCCCTTTGGATGAGGTACAATTGTAGGAGAATAATAATAAGCTTGACAGCTTGATAGCCTGCAACCTCCTGGACAATTATTGTTTGGTTCTGGGAAAGGTGACCTAAATAAACAAATTGTTGTTAGATAATTGTTGACTTAATTGTTGTTACTAATAATTATAGAAATAATGATAATAGTCTATACAAGGAACAATACTCACATTGAACAAACATTAAATCTATGTAAAAGACAAAACTGAGCTGTACAAGTTGGAGGACATTCTACAAAAAATTAACTAATAAAACCAATCATTCAATGATTTTTTACCTCCACATTCATTTTCACAATCATATTGATAGTGGAA